TTCTCTTAGAATGAGTTGAATTCCCCTGAACAATCAGATTCATAGCCTCAGGGTCTCCCAGGGTTATATTTGGAAGTACTGTACCAACTCTGATGGCCTTCTGATCTTTTGCTATCTTAGCTGTCATCTGTGATTAGATTGGATTTTGGTCATTCTATACACTATTCACATCTAAGTTAGAATATTTCACTGTGTTCCATAAGGAGCTGCTTTTGAAGAAGTCTGGAAATTCAAGTGACCCAGAATGTGGAACATGTGATACTGATTCTTTATTGCACAGGTTGCCCAAGTATTTCAAAGACTAGCTCAATGTGCTCTATTTGTCCTATGAACACTCATATCAGGCTTCTCACAAAACTGGCCGCATCTAAATAACCCTGAGTGTTAATATCTGTGGTAAAGATCCTGCTTGAAGGGTGTCGGGGGGGGGGGGAGAATGGGCTGGGAAAATGGATTCTGCAGAAAAAATTTTACCTCCCAAAGATGTGTGTGTGAAGAATTCTGGCACAGTCCAAAGGTTTATTTTAATCAGTTATTTCAAGCTGTTGTTTATTATTAGTTTTATGTTTAAAATTCCAAAGTGTTGCTGATATGTTTGGCATTTTTATGTTTTACATATATAAGCATATTTCAAAGGACCTATTTTTAAATGATTTTATTGTAATATATTCATATTACATGTTATGTATTCCTTAGGATTTTGTCCTAAAAAGTAGCCAATAAACACTTGCATAAAAATTAAATATTAATATCTAAATTGTAAGCAAATATCTTCTCTAATCAAAACTAATAAAAACAATGTGATATAATTATATGAATAAGAATGGAAAAAAACATTGACCATGTTCTATGTTAATTTATTAAACGTTAGTATTAAAAGCTTTGGATCTATTTCTTGGTATAAAATGAACAGTAAGAAATGATATTTATCTACAAAAAGCAGAAAATAATACAAAATATTCTGCAAAACAATGGGCCTCTTGTAACTGCTACAATGAAAGGAACTTGCATTAAAATTAACTAAGAGGCACTTGCTTATTCAGAAGAGTATATCCTATTAGTTGTAACATATGCTTTCTAATCTCTTGGGAGTCCTATGACTATGACCCACTAAATAATTACTACACAAAGGTTTTTTCAAGGCCTTAAATAGATACAGGTATAGGACACATTAGTTTGTGCCAGAGTATCTATTTTTTTACTTAATGTAACCTAATTTTAAAAAAAACTCTTTTAAATTTAAATTCTAGGAGGTTTAACTTGGTTGTTGAACTTTTTGTGAATGCTACAATTAGGCATAAACACACATTTTAGTAACACAGAATAAGCAAGATCAGGCTCAAGACCTGGTTAACTTAAAAGGCAAATGTTCTATGTTTTGGACATAATCTTTATATATTCTTAAAATAATTTGTTTTATCTAGTTACAAGCAGGAGAATATGGCTGAAACTTCTGTCATTTATTAACTAAATATGAGAATGATGTAACATGAGAGTACAGCATATAACCTTGTTACTGCATTTTAAAAATAAAGTTTTTCATACAGTACTTTTAAAATGAAATAAGTTTCAGTAAATCACATTCTGGCTCACAATCTCATTTCTATGTGTAAATATACATCTTGAGATTCTGTTTCTGATTATGGCCCTGAAATTTTCCTTTCAATTGCTGATTCAGATCTGTTCTCCTCTCCCTGCAGAAGATGCAGACAACTTCCACTTTTCATTGCAATTGCTAACACACATTGTATATAAAAATTAATATAAGACAGTTTACAAAATAATCATCTGTTAATTTTCCTTCTTAGTCACATAACCTGACTCTACAGGTGGCTTCACACCAAAATTTCAATACATATTATAATACCCCTGAGGTTGAAATTACTCAGTATGTAGAAATACTACTTAAAGGTCTATTGTTGTAAATGTGTCCAACTTCTCACAACTTGTTTATAATTTTTTATATTATCAAAAATTTAACTATTAAATAAGTGTCCTTTTATAGTATCAATGATACTAACTTTTACTACTGTAACAATTATTATTCCCCATACTTTACCGAAGATAAACTTCCCCAAAAAAGGGCTACAATGACTATACATAAAAAGTAAATATATTAAGAATTAGTGGAGCTGTTTAATAGACTCTTTAGGTGTGTGGCACCTAATATCTTAGCGGAGGCCAAAGCTCTTCCTAAAACTGTCAACTAACAGAAGCAGACCTTATAATTATTTGAGTATTCTGGTCTATGAGAGGCTCTGACATTACATTCTTTATAATTTCTTACAAATTATAAGTCATAGTTTGTTGGAAGCCTTTTCCTAAGGAGGATATTAATATTTTAAATAAATGGGTAAATGTGTTAAGAGCTGCCTTTTTCATCCTTCTAAACCATTAGCAAAACTTTTATTGATATTGGCAGATCAGTAAAGAAAAATAGACACAGTATATCCTATTTACTTAGAAACAAGATGTAATGTTTTTAACTGGGGCTTTCATGTAGATGTGCATAGCATTGTAGCTTCTAAATAATACAAGAAAGCAACTTGCTCTATAAAACAAAGTTAATTTGTCATTGCACTGAAATAAGCATGGAGATTTCTTCTGTCTGGAAATGAGAGAAAGCAGACATTTTCATGGCAGTAAGGACTCTGAGTAATATCCACATAAAACATAAACCTAGTCACCCTCTGAGCACTGAAATGAATGAGAACTCTTGATTTTCTCTATTTAAGAATCTTGATTTTGAATACAAAAAAATTGATTAAAGCAGGGGCCACACTGGGCACAAATCAAATGCAACCTACTTTCCATCTACTTCTTCTGAAGATCAATTAGCTGGAATCACCCATAATAAATTATAATTAAACTTGGTTTGCTAAATATAAATGGCTGGATTCTTATATTATACTAAGTCATTCACTATGGTTTACAGGGCACAATGACTATGTTTACACAAGATGCTAAACCAAACCCAATAAATTACATTATGGCTTAATATGACATTTAAACCCAGTCAACATGTTAGCCTTAGGAGCAGAAATCCCCTTACATGAAATATGCTGGAATCTGTAGAATGTACTGCTTAATAAAAGTATTGGTTTTTAAGGTCTCACAAGGTGGTTTGTATTTTCTGCTGCAAGATATTGTCCTAACAATTGCACAGGAACACACCAAGACTGCAAGATAAAGGTGAAATTCTACAGTACTGGAAATATTTGTATTATTATTTAGTCAGTTGTTTGCAAGCTTTTGGTAAAAGCTATGTGAATTTCAGAGGATGCTCATTATGTGCTGATTTCCTTAGATGGAGAATCACAGAAGCCATCGAGTTTACAACTATACTTAGTTTAGTTAATGCCTTACATTTATATAGCTAGGAGGGGAGTTGGCTTATTCTATTTCAGGTTTTATGCCTGTTGGCTTCTATTAGACCAAGAGACTTTGCCTGATTTAGCATTAGATCCTCAACTTTCTTCTCTGTGATAACTCTATTGGCATTTTTTTCCCCAGTAAATCTATTACACTTGATAAATTGAGAATTCAGTCTTTCCTCTCAACCACTGCTGCTAACTCTAACAAACTTACAATTTCTGGAAATATTTTCTTGTTGCAAATTTCCATAAATGTGAATTTTAATCCAAATTCTAAAGGAAATGTGTACTAAAAAAACTTGAAAATCCTCTCTGTCATTTCTTTATCTGTTAGCACTGTAACTGCAAACACATTGCTAATATATACTGTAGTTTAACCTTTAATTGGCATTGTTCATTACAAGGTTTGCATCTTCAGCAAGATTATGAACTCTTGAATCCACCTTTTCAAGCAGTTCAATTTGGCAACAAATTGAAAATACAGTAAAATATTCGATTTGATTCTGTTTCATAATGAGGCATCTTTTTTTTCTCTGATAAGTTAATGAGAAGTTCTTAAGTTTCTTTTCTATTTCAAAGCCTCGGAATATATGCTAAATAATATAATGTAATAAAGTCTTAGCATTTCAGTAAAGGGAGGCAGTAACAAACCTTACTTCGTTTCAAAATCTATTGAATTTTAACAGGAACTACAGGGATCAGCTCAGTTTGTTATCTTCCACACTTCTTCTATTTTTAGGTTTTGAAACCTTTTCCGATATTTTTATATGACGAACTTAGTTTAAAAGCAAACAATCAAGAAGGGGAGTTCCCCCTGAAGTCGTATTTAGCAAAGAAAAGGAAAAGAAAAAAAACCCCCAAGAGCTTCAGAGTTCGGTTCCCAAATAACTCTTACAGCACAGGTGATAGAAAAGGATCACTGACGCTCCGCATGCTTATACTTATCCAGTTTCTGATACACAGATTTTGCGGAGAGTGGGTATGGTCGTGGTTAAGCCCTTCTCTGATGAGCAATACCAGGAATGTCGAGGTTTCTCCTCTGCCGCTCTCTCCAATCGTCTCCGAAGGCAAAGGCGATTCAACGAGGCCAGTCGCTCCCGCCGATCTTGGTTTGTCAATATCTGACCTCGCGCTGAAGTCTCTCATCACTCGCTTCTTCTCTTTACTTCCAGCCCCTGTACAACTCATCTCTTCCCTTCTTACCTGTCCAAGGTGAAGGTCTACGGAAGGAACGCAATGCTTACCTGGGAGAACTCGGAGCCAGAAGAAACAAAGTAGGCCTCTCCTAGGACAGGGGTCCTGAACCTCGATGGAAGCCAAGTGTGCCGGTCTCCAAACGGCTGCTGTCGTGGACCTCACCAGGAAAGAGGAGCCCCTCCTCTGCCGTTTTCACCGTGAGGGGAAGCGGCTCGGTTTCTATAGCTACTTCCCGCGAGAGTTCCTATGCCTAATCCCTTGCAATCTTCTCCCTCCCCCACGGGGTTTGGCTCCTCTTTTTTTTCCAACTCGGGTATCCCCAAGCACATGACGCCAGCCCTGACGTCAGATAGCCAACCTGTCATGTTTAATCAATACATACAAAATTAAATGGCACACTTTTTTTTAAAGTAAAGGCTACAGTCAGTCTTTTTAAAAATTCCTCCATTATTCCATTATCTTTTTAAGCTGTTGCTAAGTAACCCGCCTGCAGCCCGCCTACACAACGGGAGGGGGTCCGGTCCCTCCCTCTCCTTTGTTATTTGGGGATGTTTTCAAATATATTCTTCTAAAGCCTGGGAAATATCCCTCTTGCCTTCTCCCCCGTAGCCTTTAAAAACTATTGAGAAAATATGACGTGAAAACAATCCGCCACCTTTTCGCTAAATAACGGAAAACAAGATGGCGGCGCGGGAGAACGTTTCATTATTTTTTTTTCTCCTTTCAAACCTGCGGGAAGCCTGCCCCTTTCTTTCCCCAGCATGCTTTGCGCTTTTCTAACGAATTTCGTTACGAGTTTGCCGTTTGGGCGCCATTTTCGAGTGTAGAAGCCGCCAAGGCTGCAGGCAGGAAACGAAGGTGTCTGGTACTGCAGGGGCTTCTATTCGGAAACTTGCTGGCCCGCGCTTCGAGTACCAACTCCACTCGTGGGTGAGGACGGAGTACTTAGTAGCTGCCCGGTAAGCTCATCCTTGGATATAATATTCCTGCGTTTGCTTCAGGAGATATATTTGAGAAACTCCCCTTCCTGGGATTAGACTGGAGGTTGAAGCTTCAATACGGTAAATGAACTTACCTCATAATTACTTATGTGTATGAGGGAGAATATTTGATTCCTCCTAATTGGGAGAATGGAAATTCCACGCAATTTGTCCCTTGTAGGAAAAGGCACTTGCCCCATTTCCCCCTCCCCCAAACCGGCGGGCACTTTTTCTTCTCCCCCGCTTTTCCCACTCCCCGCCACCGCGTGGGGGAAGGGGGACAGAAAGCATTGGTTGGCTTTTTTTCCGTTGCCTGTAATAAACGCCAAGTTGACTCCCTAACTTATTCTCGCACAGCCATTTTTTTTATTTGAAGTAGGCTGTCACAATGTCTATTCCGCTCCATTCGAATTATTTCTTTAAAAAGCGATATTCGTGGGTTTTTTAGTGGTTTAGAAAAATTAATTAGCTGTTTAAGTGATAACGCTCACGCTGCTTTTTGTAATGTCTTAAACTGATTATTCTATTAACTGAGCACGCTGAAAAAGCACGCACGCCTTCGAAGTGTAGGGGAGGGATAGCTGATTCTAATTCTTTCAGAAATTGGCAAGCCACTAATTTTTAAAATTTGTACATTCTAATCACAGCAGAGTTTTGATTTTGCGGCTCTGACCTGACGAGTGGTATTTTGCATTAGGTCCGTAAGTGCTATTAGGAAAACACCGCTAATTTGACCCCTTACTGGATGCAAGTTATGAGGGGTGAGGAAGAGGTGATAGATTTATGAAGGTTAGAAGTCTGACCCATTTATGAGGATACTTGATCTTCATCAGTTTTTATGAAATGCTCTGCATAAAATAAGTCGTTGCTTTGCAGTTTCTTTTAACAATAAAAGCAAAATTTGATTCCTGTTCATTGGATTTCTTTGGATTCTGAGGTAATGAAATATGCAGTTATTTCAGTCTCTTTTCTGAGTATACCATTCTCTTAATAATATGTTTTTCTGATAAAAATCATGAAGATAATTACTGCAAAATACTATGCACGCTGGATCAGATGTTTTACTTTAGAATTTTTGGAGATATTTCTTTAATATTAATATCTAAAACCTTCATGAGACAGAAAACAACCATGCTTTTCATCTTGTTCATGGCAATGTATAGACCAAATTGTGAACCGATCTAAATTGTCATATCCGTTCTTTATAAAAGAGTTACAGTTATTCTGATTTTGCAGCTTTTGACTTTAGAAGAAAATCTGCCTATCTGGCTGATTTTTTTTTAATCACACTGGTTTCATTTACAATCATAAACATTGATATACCTCTAGAAATTTAGATTAAATGCTAGATAGTATATTTCTGTATTACAGAGTACTTACTAAGATTTGTTTTTTGTTTTTTTATCCGCTTGATTGATTTGTTGGGATAGTATGACGGATGTAAATTGTAATTTATAATATGTAATCTGCTTTACTATGGAAGATAATCTGTGTGAAGATAGGAAAATGCATGCCTGCTGTCATAAATAGCTTGCCAGTTTGAAACATTTGCTCTGAACTTCAATTAATATCTGGGACTGGATGCAAACTTTTCTAGACTTTAGGTACAGGGTTTTTCCTTTTCTCTTTTAGTACTTTAGCAGGAAGGGAAATAAACTTAACAGTTTTTATAGTATAACTATTTGGAATTTAAACAGCAAACAGAAATCATGCCAAGCAAAAGAACTAAACTATCTACGGCAACCCATCAAAAAAGCAATGACCCCTTGGAGGAGTCCTCTAATGATGGGGAACATGAAAAAGAAGCGAGTATGCACCCCACTGAAGTACCTCAGCAAGGTCAGTCTCTTATTGACCTGATGTTTGCTTTATTAACTTAGCATAGAGGTGTCCTGATTTAAATTATATTAAGTATAGTATAGTTTTGCTTATTATTTTGTGCTGGTTTCTACAGTGATTAATTTAAATTATCTCGAGCATAATAAAGTTTTGCTTATTATTCTGTGCTGGTTTCTACAGTGATTATAAATGTCTCAGGTAAAAGTGGTGTTTAAAACCAAGGTTTGAATTTCAGTAAAAATTAGTTGTCGTATTCCTGGTGTTTTGTGATACCATGATATCAATAATTTAAATAGATAAAATTTTGAGAAATACGGAAAGTAGCTCCTTGTGCCTTATGTTTTGGTAGAAAATTGTTGTTCAGTCGTTAATGATTAGATAGATAGATAGATAGATAGATAGATAGATAGATAGATAGATAGATAGATATTTTCTGCAAAAAATCTCTATTAAAAGAAAATAAGTGCCAGTGCAATGTATTTATCATCAAATATTAGTGTGTGGATTAATATCTGAAAAGTGATACTAGACAATTATTCAAAGAAAAGATTGTCTCAAGGAGTTATAAAAAGGTCTATGTTTTGTTGAAACATAAATGGCCAGATTTTGTGTGTGAGTGTGTGTGTGTGTGAGAGAGAGAGAGAGAGAGAGAGACAAACTTCCTGTCTTCGAGAGGTAGTGCTGCTGCTGTCATTAGAACTTGCAATGCAATGTATAACAACCACCTTCTTAACAGTGTGCTTAAGCTCTTCGTGTGCCTGAAAATGCAAGATTATGGGAAGATTCCCCGGTTTTCTGCGATTTGTATGTATAGAGATATTATATAATGTAGGAGGGTATTATGTAGAAAAAAATTGGTTACTCTTGAGAATAGACTTCTAATTTATTGAATTAGTCCTTCAATATCTGGGAGAGATGCATTCTAGATCTACTTCTTAGTAATTCAGTCTAACTGTACAAATGTGTTTATTCTGTTGTAGTAGTGCTTTAAAAGAGACTTTTATTTTATTTCCATTGATTATATATGTGTGTGTTTATAACTATATATCTATATAGGTATATACAGGTATATAGTTATTAAGTGTATCAATTTTCTTGTTTTTGGATATCTTTAGCAGTATCAGATGGAGTAGTTGATGGTCAAAGTTTAGAAGAGATTTTGAGTAGCATCTCTCCTCCCCCACCTCCAGCTATGACCAATGAAGCTGGAGCTCCTCGTCTCATGATAACTCACATTGTAAACCAGAACTTCAAATCTTATGCTGGGGAGCAAATTCTAGGACCGTTTCATAAGGTATCTTTCTAGTTTATGTAACTTTTAAGCTGAGGTAAACATTTGTTGTGACTTTTCTTCTTACAGTTAAATAAATTACATATTGCCAACTAACACGGGTGGAGTGGGGGTAGAGCAGATGAAAGTCTCAATTACTATTGTTTGTACTTTTCAAGATGTTGCTTGTTGTGGAGTTCAAGAAGCTAAAAGTATACAAAATATTTTCTTACTACGTATGAGTAACAATCAGTAATTAAACTAAATAAAATAATCTCATAATTTGAAGGATTTTATTACTTCTCATGATGCTAATTGTGAACATACTTCTTTGTAGCACTTTGTTTACTGAATGCAGAGTTTTCTTGGTAAAACTTTAGAAATTTGAGCTAATAGGTGGTGTCTTTGAATAGTTTGTATGTTTTGTCCTTGGCTGTAAAAACCAAGCTTTCCAATACTGTACTTCATATTTTCCTGCACTAGGTGTAACTATATTTTAAACTGTTGTGAAAAGCAGTGAGGTCAATTGCTAGCAACCATTAAGCTGCAATGTATTTTTTTTGTGTGTGTGTGTGTTATGCAGCGTTTTTCATGCATTATTGGACCAAATGGCAGTGGAAAATCTAATGTGATTGATTCCATGCTCTTTGTTTTTGGTTATCGAGCACAAAAAATAAGATCCAAAAAAATTTCAGTACTGATACACAATTCTGATGAACATAGTGACATCCAGAGCTGTACTGTAGAAGTTCATTTTCAAAAGATAATTGACAAGGTATGTTTTTAAACCTGAAAAACTAACCACCTAATGTCCTATGAATTTTTAATCATGTAGTTGATTGAATTTATGTAGAAAAAAGCAATGTGGGGGAATACTGAATTTTTTTTATTCAAATTATAGAATATAAAACACTGATATATTTAATATTCATTTTCTTCTGTATAAATGTGTTACTGGGAAAATGTTGCCTGTATATACAGTTTGCAACACTCTAGACCTTTTGAGTTTGTCTGAAATATGCCTTAGCTACAAATATATAGTATAAGTATTGCTGAATAATTTTTTAAATTTTTTACTGGGTAATTCAAGGGAGTGTGTGTGTGTGTGTATCATCCTTCCAGTACTGAACATTTTTTTAAGAAAGTTGATATAATTTCAAATTATTATTTAATGATATTTACTTTTGCAAGAATCAGTTTGAAATTAAATTCAGAACTTGTTTTAATGTTTTACTACTACAAAAGATAACAAAAAGACACCACCCTTGTGCTAAACTTAAAAACCTCACAAAATGCCAATAAAAAATTATTGAACTAACAATCCAAAAAGGAATGGGGTGGGAGAATTTTGTTTAAAAGAAATAATCAGGATTGGTATTTTTTTGACCAAAAACAATGCAATATATAAAATATATTTTAATGAAATAATTCAAATATAATCTAAAATTTAAAAAATATTTT